ATAAAATTATATTGTTTAAATAAAATATTATGAGAAAAGATGAAAATATTTTTATTTTTATTTTTATTTTAAAAATATATTATTTTAACCTCTTTTAATGAAAATTTATTTAATTGATATATTTTGAAATATTTTTTCTTTTAATTTTTTTAAAAATTTAGCTTATAAACACTTTTTTTAAAAAAATTTACTCAAGTTAAATGCATTAATTGAATTTAAAAACCTTGATTTGAATTAAAAGTTAAAAATTCAAATTTACATAATATCAAGTAACTAACCCTTTAATATACAATAAAAAAAAAAACCTAAACTTAGAGTTAGTGTAGTAACATTGCAATTATTTATTTTTGCTTTCATTGCAAAAATTTGAAGGATCAAAATTGATAATTAAAAGTTAAAATTGAAAACTAAAATCAATGACATGTTAAGTATAAAATTTCAAAACTAATACCTAAAATTAAAATTTTTTTAGTTATTTTATTTTTTAATTTTAATGTACTATTATTCAAATTTTAGGAGACACCAATAATGTTATTAAATAACTTTAATTTAGTAGTAGTTAAGCTAATTAAGGTAAAGCAATACAAACTAGCTCTTCATTGCCTTTAATTGAACTCGCAAAAAATTTTTGAGCTAGTCAATCTTTAAATAAATAATTAAAAAATTAAGACTACTAAAATACTTAAAAAATTTTCAATTTTAGCACCTTAAAACCTAATATCTTAAAAATCCAAATCCTTAGAGGCCAAAAAGTATATTAAGCCCAAGTAATTAATTAGCTCTCTTAAGCTCAACTCTTTAAAAACTTAAAAGTCCTTAAAATCCAATAGTTACATTAAGTTCAAGGAATTAAATAGATATAAATATCCTAATTATATATATATATATCTTTTATCTTTATCTTGGATTATCAATTTATGAGAATGATGGTTTCAATATATTATATTAACAATATTAATTAAGTCACGCAACGTGTTATGTGTAACCTTGTATCATTTGAAAATGATGTTTTGTGGTTCAATTTGTTCATTTAAATTGTTCCATTGTAATTTTTGAAAAGGTAAAACTTAATATTATTCTTATTCATTTCAATGACTTATATTTTGCAATCTATCTAAGTTAGATTACAAATGCATTATTTTTAGACAAATTTTAAAACTTTTAATAAAAAATAGATACTTTATTAAAATCAAAGTTGCGATTGCATAAAAATCTCTATGCCAAAGTAGTTATAACTTAATCAGAAGCATAACTGACAATATTAGATTCAAACTCTAAACTATACCTATGATGATATATAAAGTTACTTGTACCTAAAAATTACTTATGCATTCGTTGTATGTGAATAAACAAGGCTATTGACTTAGAAAGATAGTCATTGTGATTATTTTAAATTGTTGGATATTTACATTAGTTTCTTGGGAAAAGTAGGGATTTTTGACAAACAACAATTTTAATCTCACTGAGTGTCATCCCATCAGTCGGTTGGCTTAAACTTGCTATGGGTGAGTTCGTAGCCTTCACTTGTATAGATTAAAGCCACTCCTAAATTGTAAACAACCTTTTCATCCTCCACAAAATTTTGAATTGTTCTTCCATTTACGATGTCCAAGGGCACCTTTAGATTGCGAGATATCATTTTGGAGAAAGAATCAACACCTTCTTCTTCCTCCATCATTTGCCAATAATTAATTAAGCACAACTCTTTATTCCGCTCACATCCATGGCCAAAACCTAACACCCCTATCCTTTTGCAAAAAGAGAAAACGCCAACAATTTGCCTAATAACAAATGATGCTCTGCTTAATTGAGGGCAAGTACCAGCTAGTAGCCACAAACCAAAAGCATCACCAAACCCACTAGGAGCTAACCTAGATGCTCAGCTTGCTAGCCTTTTCCCTCCATAACATATTAAATCATCGGCAACTTTTTCAACAAATTGATTAGAATCCATTGCAAATAATTGCCCAAGCCTTTCAATCGCAATAGATTCAACCCTTTAACCCACAAAGCCATCCGTGATGTTGAGGTTATCACAGGAACAAAAATTCAAGACCATTATATAATAAAACTCTAGTGCAATTACACTATTTTTAACTATTGATAGAGGGATTATCCCTAACGTTAGAGTAATAAAGAATCCGTAAAATAACGAACCATGATCCCAAATCTAAAGTCACCATTACATGAGAGAGACTTGTAATGTCAAAACCGTAACTTTAAAGATGTCAATGCACGTGAGGATTTCATAATTCTTTTTTAATTTTAAATGATTTTTTATTACATTACTTATGAAAAGTTTAAGTAATAATAGGTAAAATAAAAATTTAAGATGAAAATTTAGAACAAAAATTTAGGATCAATCATGTTGCATAAGCATATTGTTAAATTAGTTAATGCATATAATATTACAAGTCTCAAAAAAATAAAAAAGTCAATCATTAAATAATATAGAGTTTACCTTTCAATATTTTAAATGATGTAATTTATACTATGTTACTAATTTCAGAATTTGATGCTAAATTTTGGCTCCATTTATTATTATTTAAAAAATTTTATCCATAGAAACTAGAAGTGAATGAAGCCTAAATAATAGTTTTATTAAAAAAATAAAAAGCATAATTCATCATTCAATATTCAAGGGCTACTTTTTATAAATTGTTATAAAATTTGCACAACTCTTATCTATAATGAAATAAAAATGATTTCGTAGTACTTTGTTTTACATCTTGATCTAGGCACTAAAATTATTAGAGAACTTTTAATGAATAAATGTTTTTGGTACAATGAATCGGGTTTTTAGGCTCAATAGTTCAACCTTAAGTCTTAAGTGCTTATGTGAGGTTGTCGGAGTTTCGAGTTCCACCATCGTCGTGAACTCTACCAAACCGTCGTGAACTCCACAAAAAAACAGCTTAATGGCCGCGCGCTTCATTTGAGGGGATGAAATGTTCACTCGATCTGAGAACCAGTTGCTAACAACTAATTCATACTAACTTCTTAACTATTAACTTTGTAAAAAAATTTTTTTTTGGTATAATAAAATTAGGGGAGTATCATCAATTGATAATCGAAAGTAGTCATAGAAGAATAAATTTTTTATATTATTTTTATATAATTTTTATAAATTATTAAATAAATAGATTCATTTAATTTGGTGAGTTTCAAATAAATAAAAAATTAATTATTTAAATGATCTATAAAATGATACAAAATAATATAAAAAATTATTTTTAAATTATTTTTCTTAATTTTTTTTTTGAACAAAGGAGAATTTTTAAAAAAAAGGAAAAATAGGACTTTGAGAATAAAACAGATTATTTATGTACAACCACACACCTTTTAGGTGAGCGCTAAGCTAGCAAGTGTTGTGCAAATCATTTTTCTTGATTAAATTAAAAGGTGGGACGAATATATAATAATTCTATAGCCTAAAAGATATATATATATATATATATTTACAATCTACAATAAAAAAACACAATTTTTAGATTCTTTTTATATATTTTTACCACATCATCCACATTCCCATTGAACCTAAAATGTTTTACTTATGCAAATATAATGATAAATAATACAATACAAAATAGGTCGGCACAACCTCTCTTACCATGGACGTATAGATTACACTACAAGCAGTTACTTTATTTTATTTTTACTCTTTTATCACCCTATAACTAAATGGATTGAGGAATTTTGACACTCAATTTAGCTTTTCCAGCTATATTAGAATTCTTCATCTTCTTCACTTCTCTCTTTCCATTTCTCTCCATGCGATCTCATCAGAAACCCTAATTTCTGATGACAAAATCTCATTTACATCCAATTCCATCTCTCTTTTCTTGATCATCATATAGGATCGGATCGTTGTATGTAGTGATAGAACCCTAGCTTTTTTATAATCATCGGTGTTTATCTGTCTTTTAATCTCAGCATTCGTACTTGGATCAATTCTTGGACTTTTGGGGATTGATCGATTCTCAAAAGGGGGTTTAGTTCGTGTAATGTTCTCTGTTTCAAGATGAAGTTCAAGAGGAGGAAGAATTTGGAAGTGGTAAGTGTACTGATCAATTCGAAACAATTCGATCATGTTTCCAGTTTTTGGATTTTCAATTTAGTTAACTAGTCATGGACTGAAGATGAATTTTATGTTTTTCTTGTTAGTGGAAGTTGGAATTTTATGCCCATGATTGATCAGGTTAAGATATTGGTTTCTTCTTGTGAAAATTTTGAATTGTCTCTGAATTCAATAATCAAAAACGTTTGATGGTTCTAGGGTTTAGATGATGATACCATCGGTTCTGTTAATTGCTCTGAGGTTTTTATTTTCTTTGATAAGTGGTTTGATGGTGGTTTAGATGATGCGAAAGTTCATATATTTGAACGAGCTTAGTATAGAAAATGGTTTTGTTTTAATTCTTATTTTTCTGTTCCGGTTTTTGGTGTTTTGGGTTGATTTATGGAAGAAAAGATAAGCGAGTTATGCGGTAACTCCTAAATGATGTTCAGCAAACTTAGTAAAATTATAAGGGTACAGTTTTCAAGACCTTTAGGACTTTCCTAGTTGCACTGGTTATTCAAAAGAAAGAATGTGGAGGTGCTTATGCTTATATCTTAAATAACGATTTTATTTATTTATTTATGTCAGCCTCCCAAAGTCAGATCTTTCATCAATAGTGTTACAGCAGTGCCACTAGAGAATATAGTGGAACCCCTAAGAAGTTTCACTTGGGAATTCGACAAGGTACCTGTATATCCTGCATCTGATAATTGATTATATTTATTTCAACGCATTTTATTTACACTCAATTATTGTTGCTGCAGGGAGATATTCATCATTGGGTAGAGCTTTTTAACTATTTTGATTCCTTTTTTGAGAAGCATATAAAACCAAGAAAAGATCTGCAAGTTGAGGATAGTTTTTTAGGATCAGATCCTCCTTTTCCCAGAGAAGCTGTTCTTCAAATTCTCCGAGTTATAAGAATAATTTTGGAGAACTGCACAAATAAGCAATTTTATAGTTCTTACGAGGTATGTTTTTCTGGAAGAAAACCATCTATTTTCTTTGAAAGAAAACCATCTATTTTCTTGTGGTCTCTCTTAGGTTTTTCCTTTTTTGTTAAATTTTTTTTAGCTTTTTGTTATTATCTGACCTGTGTAAGTGTGTTATCTTTTGCATTTTGTTTCAGCGTTCATGTGATTTAGCTGTCATATAGTTACTTCAATGTTCATATTTTTAAGCAAATATATTCTGCTTATATTCACGTTTTTGTATCTCCCATTATTATTATTATTATTATTATTTATTTATTTATTTATTTTTTTTATCCTTTCTTATTGGAGCAGCATCTTTCATCCTTGCTTGCATCTACTGATGCTGATGTGGTTGAGGCTTGCTTGCAAACTTTGGTTGCTTTCTTGAAAAGGACTGTTGGAAAGTACTCCATTAGGGACACTTCTCTTAATTCTAAGTTGTTTGCTCTTGCACAAGGTTGGGGAGGAAAGGAAGAAGGTCTTGGACTGATTGCTTGTGCCATACCAAATAGGTGTGACCCAGTTGCTAATGAGTTAGGTTGTACCCTCCATTTTGAGTTCTATTTATCAAATGAGTCATCAAATGCCTTGGAACAGTCAACACAGGGTTTACAAATCATCCACATACCTAACTTAAACACTTGTTTGGAGACAGATCTGGAGCTCTTATCTAAGTTAATAGCTGAATATAAAGTGCCAACAAAGTTGAGATTTTCTTTATTGTCACGTTTGCGATTTGCACGGGCTTTTGGCTCTTTAACTTCTCGACAGCAGTATTTGTCTATTTGCTTGTATGCCTTCATGGTCCTTGTTCAAGCAAGCAGTGATGCTGATGATCTAGTTTCCTTTTTCAACAATGAGCCTGAGTTTGTCAATGAGTTAGTTTCATTACTGAGCTATGAAGATGTAGTTCCAGAGAAAATTCGAATCTTATGTCTGCTTTCTTTGGTTGGACTCTGTCATGACCGGTCACGGCAACCAACTGTTTTGACTGCTGTCACATCTGGTGGACACCGTGGCATCCTTTCCAGCCTCATGCAGAAAGCCATTGATTCTGTCATCGGTAATACCTCCAAGTGGTCTGTTATGTTTGCTGAGGCTCTGTTATCTTTTGTCACTGTTTTGGCTAAATCATCATCATCAGGTTGCACAGCAATGCGTGAAGCAGGTTTTACTCCTTCTCTTCTACCTCTTCTTAAAGATACAGACCCTCAACACTTGCATTTGGTCAGTATGGCAGTACAAATTCTGGAAGCTTTTATGGAGTATAGCAATGCTGCTGCTGCATTGTTCAGAGATTTGGGTGGTTTGGATGATGCCATTTCTCGTTTGAAGATGGAAGTAACCAATGTAGAAAACAGTTCAAAGCAGCAAGATGATGATTCTGAATATGGGGGAAGCAGTTCTCAGGTAGTCACAGGTGCTTCAACTGAGCTCGATAATGGGCAGCCTTTATATTCAGAAGCCTTAATTTCATATCACCGGCGATTACTCATGAAAGTTATATTGCGTTCTATATCTCTCGGAACGTATGCTCCTGGAAATAGTGCTCATATTTGTGGCTCTAAGGAGAGTTTGTTGCCACAATGCTTGTGTATAATTTTTAGAAGAGCAAAGGATTTTGGTGGTGGGGTATTTTCACTTGCAGCTACTGTCATGAGTGATCTGATTCAGAAGGATCCTACATGTTTTCCAGTCTTAGATGCTGCTGGTCTTCCATCTGCTTTCCTGGATGCTATTATGGATGGTGTTCTTTGTTCTGCTGAAGCCATAATATGCATACCTCAGTGTTTGGATGCTCTGTGCCTGAACAATAATGGTCTTCAGGCAGTAAAAGATCGCAATGCTTTGAGGTGTTTTGTAAAGATATTTACTTCTAGAACTTATCTGCGTGCTCTTACTGGTGATACACCCAGTTCCTTGTCTGGTAGCTTGGATGAACTGATGCGACATGCTTCTTCTTTGCGTGGGCCTGGTGTTGATATGGTGATTGAGATCTTGAATGCCATATTGAAACTTGGATCTGGGTTAGATACTTTAAACTTGTCTACTGAATCTTCTGCTCCTGTACCCATGGAGACTGATGTTGAAGAGAGGAACTTGGTGCAGCCAGATGAAAAGGATTCCTTGAGGACAGATGGTTTGGAGCACACAAATGAGCCATCTTCTGATGTTCCATTGGTGAATATTGAATTGTTCCTTCCTGATTGTGTAAACAATGTGGCTCACCTTCTTGAAACTATTCTACAGAATGCTGACACTTGCCGCATGTTTGTTGAAAAGAAGGGGATTGATGCTATCCTTCAGTTGTTTACCTTACCTTCTTTGCCTCCCTCAACATCAATCGGTCAGATTATCTCTGTTGCCTTTAAGAATTTCTCACCCCAGCATTCTGCATCTCTGGCTAGGTCAGTATGTTCATTCTTGAGGGAACATTTGAGGACAACAAATGATCTCTTAGCTTCCATTGAAGGGGCTCAGCTGGCCACTGTTGAAGCTGGAAAGCAGACCAAGGTTTTAAGATGTCTTTCCTGTCTTGAGGGTATGCTGTCTCTTTCCAATTTTTTGTTGAAGGGCACTGGTAGTGTTTTCTCTGAATTGAGTACCGCAGATGCTGATGTATTAAAGGATCTTGGAAGGGCTTATAGAGAAATAGTTTGGCAAATCTCCTTGTCCAATGATTCAGTGGTTGATGAGAAGAGGAGTGCTGATCAAGAATCTGAGAGTACAGAAGCAGTTCCATCCAATGCTCTTGGAAGAGAGAGCGATGATGATGCCAATACTCCTGTTGTGAGATACATGAACCCTGCTTCTGTTAGGAATGGTTCTCAGTCCTTGTGGCCTGGAGAGCGTGAGTTCATTTCTGTTCGTTCTGGTGAAGGTCTGCAACGTCGTAGTCGACATGGTTTGTCCCGTGTAAGGGGTGGAAGGACCAGCAGGCACCTGGAGGCTTTAAATATTGATCCTGAAGTTCCACATACTCTTCCAGAGACATCATCTATCCAGGATTTGAAAAAGAAAAGTCCTGAAGTTCTTGTTATAGAAATCCTTAACAAGCTAGCACTCACACTACGCTCATTCTTCACAGCTCTTGTAAAGGGGTTTACCTCACCAAACCGTCGTAGAGCTGATGCAGGATCATTGAGTTCAGCATCCAAAACTCTTGGTATGGCGTTGGCTAAAATATTTCTTGAGGCCCTTAGTTTCTCTGGATATTCTTCTTCTGCTGGGCTTGATATGTCACTTTCAGTCAAATGTCGTTACATGGGAAAGGTAGTGGATGATATGGGAGCACTCACATTTGATAGCAGGCGGGGGATCTGTTATACAGCAATGATTAATAATTTCTATGTCCATGAAACTTTCAAGGAACTACTGAACACCTTTGAAGCTACCAGTCAGTTGTTGTGGACACTACCATACTCCATTCCTACTTCAAGTATTGAACATGAGAAGGCAGGTGATGGACACAAGTTGTCACATGGTACATGGTTGCTTGATACATTGCAAAGCTATTGCCGTGTTCTTGAGTATTTTGTGAATTCTGCTTTACTTTTGTTCCCAAACAATGCTTCCCAGGCTCAGTTGCTGGTTCAGCCAGTTGCTGCAGGTTTGTCTATCGGGCTTTTTCCAGTTCCAAGGGATCCAGAAGCATTTGTACGTTTGCTGCAGCGTCAGGTGCTGTATGCAATACGACCTATCTGGAATCACCCTATGTTTCCCAACTGTAGTCCTTCTTTTGTGGCTTCCATTGTCTCACTTGTTACATATGTATATTCTGGTATTGGGGATGTGAAGCGAAACCGTGGTGGCATTGTAGGGGGTACAAACCAACGTTTCACACCTCCACCGCTTGATGAAACTGCTATTGCCACCATTGTTGAGATGGGTTTTTCAAGAGCAAGAGCAGAGGAAGCACTGAGACGTGTAGAAACAAACAGTGTTGAAATGGCTATGGAGTGGCTAATTAGTCACGCTGAGGATCCCGTGCAGGAGGATGATGAACTGGCTCGGGCACTGGCTCTTTCACTCGGAAATTCATCTGAAACATCCAAACCTGACAGTGTTGATAAGTCAACTGATGTCATGACAGATGAAGGGCATACAGATGAACCTTCTATTGATGATATTCTTGCTGCATCTGTAAAGTTGTTCCAGAGTAGTGATAGCATGGCATTTTCATTGACAGACTTGTTAGTGACTCTTTGCAATCGTAACAAAGGAGAAGACCGTCCACAAGTGCTATCCTATCTTATTCAGCAGCTGAAAATCTGCCCTTTGGATTTCTCAAAGGATAACAGTGCATTGTCTATGATATCTCATATTATAGCATTGCTTCTTTCAGAGGATGCAAGTACACGAGAAATTGCTGCTCAGAGTGGTATTACAGCTGCTGCAATTGATATCTTGATGAGTTTTAAGGAAAGAAACAACTTGGGAAATGAAATTCCAGTTCCAAAATGTATTAGTGCTTTGCTACTTATCGTGGACAACATGTTGCAGGCCCGTCCAAGAATTTTCTCTGATACAATAGAGGGAACTCAGAAAGAATCTCATCCTGATTCATCTGCAGAGCATTCTTCTTTGCCAGTTCCAGAATCAGTTGTAGAGAAAAAATCAGCATCAGATAACCATGAGAAAGAGTTTGGCACAATGTTTGAGAAAACATTGGGAAAATCCACTGGTTATTTGACCATTGAAGAGAGTCACAAGGTTCTGCGAATTGCTTGTGACTTGATAAAACAGCATGTTCCAGCAATGATAATGCAGGCTGTTCTGCAGTTATGTGCACGCTTAACAAAAACACATGTTCTAGCTTTGCAATTTCTTGAGAATGGAGGTCTGCTTACTCTTTTCAGTCTTCCTAGAACTTGTTTTTTCCCTGGATATGACACTGTTGCATCTGCTATCATACGGCATCTCCTTGAGGATCCTCAGACTTTGCAAACTGCCATGGAGTTGGAGATACGTCAAACTTTGAGTGGAAACCGCCATGGTGGTCGTGTTTCTCCTCGGACATTTTTAACATCGATGGCACCTGTTATCTGCAGAGATCCTGTTGTTTTCATGAAAGCTGCTGCAGGAGTTTGTCAGATAGAGTCATCAGGGGGTAGGACCTTTGTGGTGCTATGCAAGGAAAAAGAGAAGGAGAAGGACAAATCAAGAGCTTCAGGTGTTGAACTTGGATTATCTCCAAATGAGTCTCTGAGAATTCCCGAAAATAAGGTGCATGATGGATCTGGTGGTAAATGTTCCAAAGGCCATAAAAAGATTCCTGCTAATCTTACTCATGTAATTGATCAGCTTCTTGAAATAGTTTTGAAATATCCTTCTCCCAGAAGCCAGGAAGATTATGCAAGAGACTTCACTTCTATGGAAGTAGATGAAACTGCTACCAAGGTGAAAGGTAAATCGAAGGTTGATGAGACAGGGAAAATTGAATCTGAAAGGTCTGCAGGATTGGCTAAGGTGACTTTTGTCCTTAAGTTATTAAGCGATATTCTTCTGATGTATGTACATGCAGTCGGGGTTATTCTGAAGAGGGATTCAGAAATGTCTCAGCAAAGGGGTTCTAATCAATCAGATGCATCAGCAAATGGTGGTATACTTCATCACATTTTACACAGGTTGCTTCCACCTTCTGTAGATAAATCTGTAGGGCCTGATGAATGGAGGGATAAGTTGTCTGAAAAAGCTTCATGGTTTCTGGTGGTCCTATGTGGTCGTTCTGGTGAGGGTCGTAAAAGGGTAATCAATGAACTTGTAAAAGCCTTATCTTCCCTCTCAAACTTGGAGGGCCATTCAACTAAGAGGACATTGGTTCCTGATAAAAGGCTTTTTGCATTTGTTGATTTGGCATATTCAGTTTTGTCAAAGAACTCATTGTCCAGCAACTTTCCTGGTACAGGCTGCTCACCAGATATAGCAAAGAGCATGATAGATGGAGGGATGGCTCAGTGTTTGACCAAAATACTTCAAGTGATTGATTTAGATCATTCTGACGCCCCTAAAATTGTAAATCTCATACTGAAGGCCTTGGAGAGTTTGACAAGGGCTGCTAATGCTAATGATCAAGTTTTCAAGCCTGAAGGGCCCACAAACAAGAAAAAATCAGTAGGGTCAAATGGGAGGCATGCTGATCAGGTAATTGTGTCAACTGCTGAGACCATAGAGCATAATCAAAGTGGGAATGTTCAACAGGCTGTTGCAAATGTGGAGGAAACTGAACAACAGCAGCATCAGGGAACTGCACAAGCTGAAGGTAGTCATGATGCAACTCAGAATGACTCTGTTGATCATGATATGAGAGAAGAAGTTGAAGAGGCAACGGCTGCAAACCCTCCAATGGAAATTGGGATGGATTTCATGCGTGAGGAAATGGAAGGTGGGATGTTACATAATACTGACCAGATTGAGATGTCATTCCATGTTGAGAGTAGGGCAGATGACATGGGTGATGAGGATGATGACATGGCAGATGATGGAGACGATGATGAGGATGATGATGAGGTAGAGGATGAAGATGGGGACATAGCAGAAGATGGCGCTAGAATGATGTCTTTAGGTGATACAGATGTTGAGGATCATGATGATGCTGGTTTGGGAGACGAATACAATGATGAAATGATTGATGAAGAGGATGATGATTTTCATGAGAATCGTGTAATAGAGGTGAGGTGGAGAGAAGCCCTTGACGGGTTAGATCACTTACAGGTTCTTGGTCAACCTGGTGCTGCTAGTGGTCTGATTGATATTGCTGCTGAACCTTTTGAAGGAGTGAATGTGGATGATCTCTTTGGTTTTCGTAGGCCTTTTGGTTTGGAACGTCGTCGTCCAGCAGGTCGGTCTTCCTTTGAGCGACCTATTGCAGAAGTAAATGGTTTCCAACATCCTCTTCTCTTAAGACCATCCCAGTCGGGGGACCTAAGATGGTCTTGGTCATCAACAGGTACCAATTCATCCAGGGATTTGGAAGCTCTGTCAGCAGGCAATCTGGATGTTGCTCGGTTCTACATGTTTGATGCTCCTGTTTTGCCCTATGATCATGCTCCAAGTAGTCTTTTTGGTGATAGATTGGGTGGTGCAGCACCACCACATCTGGCTGAGTATTCTGTAGGTATGGACTCATTGCAGACATCAGGAAGAAGAGGCTCTGCTGATGGTCGGTGGACTGATGATGGTCAGCCACAAGCAAGTTCTCAAGCTGCAGCAATTGCACAAGCAGTAGAGGAGCAATTTCTATCTCAGCTGCGTGGTACAGCTCCTGCCAACCATGCAGCAGAGAGACAATCCCAAAATTCTGAAGTCCAGGAGAGGCAACCTTCAGATGCCCTTCCTCTGAATGATGGCAAGACGGTGGTTGAGGGTGACAGTGCTGGCAGCCAGCAAAATGGAGAGCAGCATCAAGAAAATGGAAATGAAGTGTCACATCAGCTTAATCTTATGGTTGAAAGTGTTTCTTGTGGAGAGCAGTTGAGTTCTCAGTATGTTGCTGGAGATGTGGGTGAATGTCCACTGGCAGATGGGGGTATGGCAGCTCAATCACCTTCCTTCAATGGCGCACAAAATGTGCTTGATAACATGGAAATAGGGGAGGGTAATGGAACTGCTGCTGAGCAAGCAATGGGGATTCAGGAGTTGGTCAACTCAACTGCAAGAAATCAAGATGGCCTTCATCTTGAAGGAGATGCTGATGTGTCTGGAAATATTGATAATGTTTCAGTTCAGGCTGTGCCCCCTGGTAGATTGTCAGGAATGGATGAACAGAGTGGGAATCATGTTCTGATAGATTCTGGTTCAGATCTTCCTAATCCAAATGTTTCTCATGGGTCCTCTTTGCATGACAGTGTTGATGTAGACATGAATGCTCCAGATGCCACAGACCAGCAAGTTGACCCATCCATTCTTCCATCTGAAGCTGCTGTTGAGGAGCCAGCAACTGGGCAAACTACAGTTGTTGCTCAGAATGCAAATCAGACTGAACAAACTAGTGCAAGTAATGAGGCCCCAGGTGCTAATGCTATTGATCCTACATTCTTGGAGGCACTACCTGAAGATTTGCGAGCTGAAGTTTTAGCTTCCCAACAAGCTCAGTCTGTTCAACCTCCAACTTATGTGCCACCTTCAGCAGATGATATTGATCCTGAGTTCTTGGCTGCTCTTCCTCCAGATATTCAAGCAGAAGTCTTGGCCCAACAAAGAGCACAAAGAGTTGCACAGCAGGCTGAAGGACAACCTGTAGACATGGACAATGCTTCAATCATTGCTACCTTTCCTGCTGATCTTCGTGAAGAGGTTTGCATCATAAGCCTGAGATTTTTTACCAATTGAGCTGCAATAACTCCTCCTACTTGTATTTCAGGTACTTTTGACTTCTTCAGAAGCAGTTTTATCAGCACTGCCATCTCCATTACTTGCTGAAGCTCAAATTCTCAGGGACCGAGCAATGAGTCATTATCAAGCCCGCAGTCTCTTTGGAGGAAACCACAGGCTGAATAGTCGGAGGAGTGGATTGGGTTTGGACAGGCAGACAGTGATGGACAGGGGTGTTGGAGTTACATTAGGGCGAAGAGCAGCTTCTGCTATTGTAGATAGCTTAAAAGTAAAGGAAATTGAAGGGGAGCCACTTCTAGATGCAAATGCTTTGAAAGCTTTCATACGGCTTCTACGGTTAGCACAGGTAATGCTATTTTTGGGTAAATGGTTCAGTGTTTAATAAATCTATCTGGTTATCTCAGTTGTTTCTTTTGCCAGCTTATCTTCTAGGTGGTGGTATAGTTAGGAATTGACAATTATAAATCCAAGTTTTGATGCTTGAAATGTAAATTTTAGTTTTCATCTAGGAGTTGCAACAGTAATTGTTCAAAGAGCTAGGACAAAAAGAGAAGGAAAAGGGAAAAAAGAATGTTCAAAGAATCAATAAAGTTTGATATATTAAATATTTTGTTAACATGGTTTTTGTTTGTGTTAATGTTATTAGCCCCTCGGGAAAGGCCTCCTACAGAGACTTCTATTAAATCTCTGTGCACACAGTGTTACTAGGGCAACTTTGGTTTGGCTTCTGCTTGATATGATAAAACCTGAGGCTGAGGGCTTGGTTGGTGGGTTTGCAACAATTAATTCACAGAGGCTTTATGGTTGCCAGTCAAATGTTTTTTATGGGCGATCACAGATGTTAGATGGTAATACTTTCATCTAATGGAATTATAGTTATCTGCCTGCAATATTTCAACTTGAACTTCTCCATCTCATCTTTGATCTTGTGTTTTATAATAGGTCTTCCTCCTCTTGTATTACGTCGTATTCTCGAGATCTTGAATTTTTTGGCTACAAATCATCCTGCTGTTGCAAATATGTTATTTCACTTTGATCCCTTGACTCTTCCTGAGGTCACAAATGTGCAGTGTTTAGATACAAAGAAAGATAAAGGAAAGGAAAAAATCTTGGATGGTGGAGCTGAATCTAAACTTTCAACAGACTCTCAAGAAAGGGATATTCCTTTAGTACTGTTCTTGAAGCTCTTGAATCGACCACTATTTTTACGAAGCACTTCTCATCTTGAGCAGGTGACTGTTCAAATTCATTGCTCCCTGAATTTTCTTGATCGTCATTGTTGTTATCATTTATTCTGTGTATTCTTCTTGGACCATTGTCATACCTTTATTTATCCACATAATCTTTTGAGCAGGTTATGGGCTTGCTCCAAGTGGTTGTCTATCCAGCAGCATCAAAGTTGGAATCTATGTCATTATCTGAATCAGCAGTTGAGAACTTGGATTCCCAGAACCTGCATTCCAATGAATCTTCTGGTGATGTTCAAAAGGATCCTCTTTTGTCTGAACCAGAATCTATTGAAAAAGAAAAACATGCAAGTGCTGAATCATCTTCTTCAGATGGGAAGAAGAATGTTGATCCCCATGATATATTTTTGCAGTTACCACAATCTGATTTGCGCAATCTATGCCATCTTCTTGGTCATGAGGGGTATTTTCATGCTCTGATTTTATTTCTGAATGTGGTGAAAGTTCTTTATACTATGTTTTTGCTTGTGACTCCAATGATCTTTTCTTCTCTTTGCTCTTACTATTTATATATGCACATCTTTCTCACTGCTTGAAATTGCCTTCCTTTTTTACTCCAGTAGTGAAATAGTAAATATGCCACTGACTATTCTATAATGTTGTTCAGGCTATCAGACAAGGTTTATACATTATCTGGTGATGTGCTTAAGAAGCTGGCCTTGGTTGCTGTGCCTCATCGGAAATTTTTCACTTCAGAACTTTCAGAATTAGCTCATAGTTTAAGTAGTTCAGCTGTCAGTGAGCTTGTTACACTGAGGAGTAGCCGGATGCTGGGTCTGAGTGCAGGTTCCATGGCGGGTTCTGCAATCTTACGTGTGCTACTAGTGCTTAGCTCACTAACTTCAACTAATGTTATTGAGAATACAGGTTTAGACAGTGATGGTGAGCAGGAGGAACAGGCCACCATGAGGAAGTTAAATGTTGCATTAGAGCCATTGTGGCAAGAACTGAGTGATTGCATTAGTGTGACTGAAGCACAGCTTTGTCAGAGCTCTCTCTGTCCGGCTATGTCAAATATCAATGTTGGGGAGCATATGCATGGAACATCATTATCTTCTCCTCTTCCTCCTGGAACTCAGAGACTCCTTCCTTTCATTGAGGCTTTCTTTGTTTTGTGTGAGAAGCTTCATGCAAATCATTCCTTCATGCAGCAAGAACAAGTAAATGTTACTGCACAGGAAGTCAAAGAGTCTGCTGAAAGTTCTGCTTCACATGCCTCAAAATGCAGTGGAGATTCTCAGAAAAAACTTGATGGTTCTGTCACATTTGCAAGGTTTGCTGAGAGGCATCGCCGGCTTTTGAATGCTTTTATCAGACAAAATCCTACCTTATTAGAAAAATCGCTTTCTATGATGCTGAAAGCTCCTAGATTAATTGACTTTGACAACAAGAGAGCATATTTCCGTTCAAGAATAAGGCAGCAGCATGACCTACACCTCTCTGGTCCATTGCGGATTAGTGTTAGGCGGGCCTATGTTTTGGAGGACTCATACAATCAGCTGCGGATGCGACCCACTCAGGATTTGAAGGGACGTTTAAATGTGCAGTTTCAAGGTGAAGAGGGCATTGATGCTGGAGGTCTGACTAGAGAATGGTATCAATTATTGTCAAGGGTTATATTCGACAAAGGAGCATTGCTTTTCACTACTGTGGGCAACAATGCTACTTTCCAGCCAAACCCCAATTCAGTTTACCAGACTGAACACCTTTCTTACTTCAAATTTGTGGGTCGTGTGGTAAGTTGTTGGGAACACAGGTGTCTAAGTAAGTATTTTTCTGGTGTTGAATTAGTTTGATTCTGATTCTTCCTTTTTCTCTATCATTTTTATGCACAGGTTGCGAAGGCACTGTATGATGGGCAACTTTTGGATGTTTATTTTACTCGCTCCTTCTACAAGCACATACTTGGTGTAAAGGTGACTTACCATGACATAGAAGCTGTTGATCCTGATTATTACAAGAATTTGAAGTGGATGCTGGAGGTGAGCTCGATTACAAGATCACTTTTTATTTTATTTGGTTGAGTTTCTATAATGTGCATTGGAGTAGTGCCCTCAAGGAATGCCATCTCTATCTCATTAACATTTAATTTATATATTTCAGAATGATGTAAGTGACATCCTTGACCTGACATTTAGCATGGATGCTGATGAGGAAAAACACATTCTTTATGGAAAAACTGAGGTGAGTCAATTTTTCTGTTTTCTTTATTTTTATGTACTTTTCATTCCAAACTGCCAAGATCTTCAATTTGACTTTTTTATAAGGTAAACTTCTCTTCTTTATTGTATATTTCCTTTTCTAGTTTTCTTTTTCTCCTATTTTCTTGATCAAATGTTATTGCTTGGACTAATTTTTTTTTTTTTTTTTTAATTTTTTACGATTAAGGTTACTGATTATGAACTTAAACCTGGAGGAAGAAATAGCAGGGTTACTGAGGAAACAAAACATGAGTATGTAGACCTTGTTGCAGATCATATATTGACAAATGCTATCCGTCCTCAAATCAATTCTTTCCTAGACGGATTCAATGAATTGGTGCCCCGTGAACTTATTTCAATTTTCAATGATAAAGAGCTTGAGCTTCTGATCAGTGGACTTCCTGAAATTGACTGTAAGTTTGTTGTCATATCCTTCTGTCTTTTTCTCTTCATGTTGTTTGCTTGTTCATCTTTGAAGTATCCAAATGATAATGTTGAACTTGTAGTGGATGATCTAAAGGCAAACGCAGAGTATACTGGCTACACAGCTGCATCTCCTGTTGTTCAATGGTTTTGGGAAGTGGTTAAAGCTTTCAGCAAGGAGGATATGGCAAGATTGCTGCAATTTGTTACTGGAACATCAAAGGTAATTCGAACTTCAAGAAGTGGCTATTAATGTTGGGAAGTTCTTATTATTGACAGAGTATTCAATGGAACTTGACTGTTGGTCTTCAGGTGCCATTGGAGGGCTTCAAGGCATTGCAAGGTATCTCTGGTCCTCAAAGGTTTCAGATTCACAAAGCATATGGAGCCCCTGAGCGTCTCCCCTCTGCACATACATGGTCAGCAATAGTTCATGCCTGCAACATCACTTTTTTCTTCTGTTTTTCAGTGCTTAGGATTGCAATTTTTTCTCTGATTTGGATTGGCATTTTTTTTTTGTTCCTCATCAGCTTTAATCAACTAGACCTTCCCGAGTACTCCTCTAAGGAGCAGCTTCAGGGACGCTTGCTACTTGCAATTCATGAAGCTAGTGAAGGGTTTGGCTTTGGCTAATTGAAGTTTCTATAGGCATATCATATCACTCCCTGAGAATGCCGTGATCCATCCTCAAATTTACATGTATATGTTTGTATGAGACCATTTCCTCCTATGAACTACATAATTATCTGTGGATGAAAGCCTTGAAATTAATGTAATAGTAGATAGAAAAAGTTTTGGTGCAATTGCACATTTATGTTCAGTCTCTGATCCAACAACTAATCTTTGGTTTTATTTGCTTTCTTTTGTGCAGAGGGTGATGGGTTTTGGCAGATGGAGATGTGATAATGCGGAAACTCTACACTCCCCAGTCTCAAAATAACATTATGGACACTCTGAACTATGCGCATGAGAAGCAAGCTGCTGGATCATTGTCACACTGATGCTTTTGATGAAGAGTGTCCTCAATGACATGAATTGGAAGCATGATTCCCTTTTCTTTTTTCTTTTTATTTTTTGCTTTTTTTGCCATATCAAGGGATCCAGGGAGTTTGCATATAGAATGATTTAGTTGTTAATATTAGTTTGGTTGCTTTTTTGCCATATTGAGGGTCCAGTGGGTATGGCCAGTGACCCTTTGGATTAGCATATGTCTTAAGACAACTATTCTTTAATTAGCAATAAGCTAGTGATTATTCTATCTCGTTCTTGTGTCCAATTTTTCATTCTCTCTGGTTCTCTCTATAATGGTTCTTCTTTCTTTCTTTCTTTCTTTCCTTTTTTTTGAACTGTCTTCTCTCCATAATGGTATTAGTAGCAGCAAGCACCATTTAGAAATGGAGGGTAACTTAAGTGTTAATTTCTGAAATTCTTTAATAGTCAAGGAGCAAGATTCAAATCCCCCATACTCCATACTTCGATCATAATTCAGGATGTTGCTTTTGTACATGATTAAAGTCTCATTGCAACGGTGGCATGTCAGGTTAGTTTTTGATTTATTAGTTTAGTATTACAGCACTTTTCTATTTTGAACTGAAGCTAAATTAGTCTTACCAAACTTGATGAGAAAAGTCTGCAAAGAAGCTACAGTGGTGGCTCATACAAGCTTGTGCAAGAAGCGATCGATTTTGTCCAAAAAAACAGTTTCAAATTTGAAATCGATGCTCTATAAGTTATTGCTGTGGCAGGGTTACTAGGTTTTCCATGTGAGTGTTTATCCTGCTGCTGTTGGGGTTGTTTTCATTTGGCATTGTGTGGCTGATTGGGGCGACTATAGGGTAAGATGGCGTGCTGGTTGCGGGGATTGTTTCATTCTTCCAACTTGTGGAGTGGGTGATAGGAGGCTGGGGGTGGGATTGAATTGATGAATGGATACATCTTCATCCTTGGATGGCACGACTACTAATTTCCTGATTGGTTTGGTCAGTGACCCAGTGTGGGATGGGTCTGCTGCTTTGGAGTAGTAGTGTAGTGGCTTTATGTCATGGCCTAATAGACAATGGTTTTATTTTACTTTATTTTTTTCTTTTGATACATGGTTCTATTTTAAGTTTGATGCTACAAGTAATTGGGGTTTTTGATAGGGCAGAAATATATGAAAAAGCCTTTTACCTTATTAATTTTAAAGCTTTTAGTCCTTCACTTTACAAGTTGAAAATTTAAGCCCTTAAATTGATTGAACTAGAGGAAAAAACACAAAAATGAAGGACATTGGTTGCAGGCATCACGTGGGTGTTGTGTTTTTATCAACCCTTTTCTTTTGCCTATAATTAATTATTTCAAGAACATCTAGCATGTAATACACATTGGGTTTTATTTTGGGTGGGATTTTTCTTGTCTTTATGAGTCAAAGTAGGGATGACAATTTCCTACGAGACTCTTGAAGCTCCACAGAGGACTGTCATGGAAATGGAGATATCAAGAATATTTTTCCCTGAAGGCATTTTTTGTCTTGTGAAATTTCTTGGAGAATTTTTTCTATCTCGTGGAAATCTGTAAAGATCCATATATAATAAAAAATATATAAGTTTATTTTTATATATTTTTGTAGATAAATTATCAATTAATTTTTACTCACCCCACCTAAATAGCTAACCCAATCTAATTAAAATTGCCTAACCTAATTCCTTTCCAGTTCTAGTCTTTTCAAACTTAATTTAATAATCCAACCCAACCTGGACATATATGGTAGTTCATGCATTTTATTTTATAAATTTGCTGCTGGACCTGTTGTATGTGTATGATAGTGTGTATTCATTGCAATTGGTTACTAGATATTGCTTTGTTGCACTATATATTAACGTATTTACTTGTTTGAGTTGGTTTAAATTTTTATTTTTTTTATTTATCAAGAAAAAAATAAGATTAAATTCTATATATTTAATAGTTGATAGAGATTCTGAATACTTATGAAGACCTATCATTTCTCACGAGTATGAAGATAGAGGCTATTTTTGACCCTCTGCCAACAATCCTTGTGGGGATCCCTATATCTATCATTGATGGGGATAGAGATGGGTAGAGGATCCTCACCCCGTGGGGACTCATTGCCATCCTTAAGTCAAAGTGGATCATATTTATGCTAGTATGGCACTAATGAGTATAGGATAATAAAATTGAGATGACCACATGTCTCACATGATAGGATTCTATTTATTTTAGGCTAAATACAACAATAATGTTAAATTTATAAATTAAAGTACACAAAATATATGTTGAGAGATTAACAGTCTCAAAGACTCAAAGGCATAGTTAAATGGCTTTTAAGGGGTTAAGCCAATTATCGCTAATCCAGAAGAATATATATATATATATATATATATCCTTTTCCTCTAGTCTCTGTCCTTGGCAGGCATTGTCATCTAATGATAATATTACGATGTTAATTGTTAAGACACTTAGAAGTAGGAATATGGTTTGTATTACTCCAGCACTGGATGTTCTGCTTTAGACATATAAGAAGTACAACTGTTATCATGTGGAAGAAAAAAAATGGAAAAGAAGATGGTCCACAAAAATCAATTAGAGAGACGCTTGCTGAGCTGTTTTTTATCATTATATCCGTGGATATTCTTTTGGAAAGCAAAACCCCAACAGCTTCTCAATAAGGTGGTCCACCTTTAATGCATCCAAATGGCAACCACCAATGCACAGGGAATTTCTCCTTTAGCATACAAGTCAATTTCTGCATTTTTTTGCAGCCCCGTAGCTCTATAGTACTCATCTGGGACAGCCATGCAAAGAAATGACAATTAGGCATCAAATCAGTCCCCATCTTTGGCAAAAGAATAGGCTACCACAATTTTCCTTCGAATTATCTTTTGTCTGGAATACCCTTTTGCCAATGGTCTGCTAATGAACTCAATGGACCAAATGGCTGCACGTTTTGATTCCTCATCCAGTTGTTTTCACTTCTTTTTGGAGTGAAATTTGGCAAATTTTATGTTTGGTTAGTGTTCATGCCTATCAATCAATCAAATTTGAAACCATAATCCTACTTTGTTAAGGTTAAATAGAACCTTGTATATCTACCAAAAATAAATTAATAAAACCTTGTATTGATCATTATTCCCTTTATCTATTTTCACTTTGTTATGAACTTCTCCCATGTTTTTAATCATTGAAGCATCTTTGATGATTGAAAGATAAAGTAAATTTATTAAGAAACTAGTAATAGCTAAGCCTTAATTTAGACAATGGTAAAGGCTGAGGCCCCAGAACCTTAGGCGGGTTAAGTCTTGTATTCGCTAGATCATGCAAAAGAAGTTTACGAGTTTAGAAGGATACAACACATACTTGCGGAACTAACAATACTTGAATCCTTTAATCCCTCATCATTCTGAATGCAGAAACTGAAAGACAGGAAGGGCTATGAGCTTCAGGTTTAAGGAGACGAAGCAGGTCATAAATTTTCCATGTAAGGACTCGGAACCTTTTGAGGAACAGGAACCACAGCATAGACACAAAAGTCTTGAAATCTTGAATTCAACGTTACAGTGAAATTGGATTACCAGAATATGTCATGACACTAGCATTGAGCATCAGCAATACTGCTGATATGTGATACATTGAAACAGGGACTCAAAAATCAATTATCTCTAACACAACTTCTCTTACATAATATATCATTGTGTTTACACTTGCCAAGTATCACATCAAGGGTGAACAAAACAAATTACATACAAAAACTTCACGAGCAAAGGAACAATGAAAAGAAAAGGAAACAGATTGCCAACTTAGAGCAATAAGCAAACATCTCTCTATATATACATACCAACTTATGTATATAAACATGCAAGACCATAGAATCATGGAAGCATTCTGATCTTTTACCAATATCCTAAAATTATCTATATTAGTAGTATTAGCCAGGCATCGATCCCTTGATCAAAAACCAGATGTTACCAATACAATCCACTTCTCCCTTTGTGGCCAGAAACCTAGAATTGGTAATCACAAAGTCCCAAGTGGGCTGAACAGGGTCAAACAGCTCTAGCTACCACAAAACCTCTCTCAAACTATGGCCACTTAGGTCCAGACATTTGGTTATATATGATGTAACGATATCGATTCCAGCAAGATGCTAAATTACAACTTATGCACCCAACATTAGAAGCTCAGTGGTAGATAAGATAAGCAGAACTCAGTATGGTGACTACCCTTAATGCCAGCATTGAAGGAGAGTAAGTGGTAATACTACATAAACAAACTTCAGACATCCTCATAATTACCTAGATCACAATGTCAAGCACCTGTCATTTGTTGCCGTCCATAGGTATAGTTAATCTATTCATGGTTAGAACTCACAAACTGACTTATCTCATCCATGACAGTGTGGAAGTGATTGTTATTGGGCAACAGGTAGAACCCAATTGTTGCCTGATCCTGGTATAGAAGTCTCACCTCTTGGCCAGCGTTCCTGAGCCCTTCAACATATGCCAATTGCCAATCCTGAACAAGATCCAAACCAGCCACCACAACTAGACTTTTGGGAAATTTTATTCCTTTGAGGCTTTTACCCCTAGGACCAAATGGATTACATGCTGGATGATTCCTGTCTTCTCCTTCAGGGAGGAAAGCTCTCCAGTACCAATCCCGGTCTTGTATAGTCACAAAATATTTTCCATCTAACCGTCTTTCAGATTCAGTTCTTTCTTGCCCACCAAACATTGGGTTGAGCAATATATTTCCCAGTACTTCAATTCCTGATTCTACTGCTCTCATGGCAACATGATGTGCAATGTTACCACCAGAACTATCCCCAGCTAAATAGATATGAACCTTATTGTCCATACTCTGAAGCCATTTTCTGGAGTTAACCCATGTAAGAGCTGTCCATCCATCATCATATGCACACGGATATCTATTTTCAGGTGCACGCCGATAATTCACAGAGACAACAACAGCCTTACAGAAATGCACTAACCGGCGACAGAGCATGTCATATATGGCACTATTTGCAGAGGAATGAGCAAAGCTTCCACCATGAAAGAAAATTATAACCGGGACAACCTCAGACGTAACAGGCTTCTCAAGTTCAATGATATGAGGCTGAGGTTCTTCTGCACTAGCAGGACGATAAATCCGGCTTAGGAGGCTGGTACTACGATCAATGATGACATCAAATGAGAAAACCCCATCAACCAGGTTTGCATTTGCAGGGACTTTTCGATCAAGAAACTCTGCCAGGTGACGATTGAAAGTGCCATCAGGGCGACGAAGAAGATTGTAAGCCACCTTAAAATTGGAGATGAGGACCCATGTATTTAGTGGAACCACCATCTATATACATACAAAAACGTAGAAGCAAGAATAAACAATAAAACCTATCAATACTAAAAATAGTAAGATCTTTATCAGCAACAAAGTACCTATAAAATCAAACCTAAAAGAATAGCTTTACCATGATGTATAATAAACACTCATATTTGCAAACTGACTAGAAACATTAGAAAACATCAATACGAGAACCCTAGAGAACCTAGAAATGAAAATGTGCTGGTTTCGACAAGAGAGCACCAAAATCAGCAGCAACATGCCAATCAACTTATAGGATCTTCAAAATCTTATTAAAACCCCATACAATCTGCCTCAAATCATGAACCATTTCAACAAAGGGGTAAGAAAGAACAAAAAACCCAAATCACGGACAATCAAGAGGGAAAACATCAACATATCCATACATGATCTTCAAGCAGCTCAAATCTGAAATCAAGAAAACAAAAACTTTGAACAATAAAACCAAAGATATAACCAACTTCTTCAAGAAGGTTGGAATGTCTCCAGACCCCAAAAAGAAATGCTCCCCACTAAGCTAAAACCAGCTAAAAACTCCACATTTCATCAACCAAAAAGACCCAAGAACCCAAAAGGCAAAAGAAAAGAATTAGATGAATCCCATGTTCAAAAGATTCACAAAACATGATCACAACCAACTCTACTCAATCAAAAAGAGAGAACAAACAAAAACACAATATGACTTAAAAAGATGCATTTACCTTAGATTCATTTAGGTTAACCTCGTTACTCCTAGCCATTTTCCTTTCTCTCTAAAGGAAAACCCAAAAGCTCAAAACAGATCCTTCCTAAGAGATATGCAGAAGCTCACAAATCACATCCCACAAACCCCAGAAACAAAACCCACCAAAGATTGATCCTTTCCCAGTAAATATTACTCCTTTTCCCCCTTCAACTCAGTGATGAAGAGCATAAAGCTTGTTTCTTCTCAAATATTCTCTCAAAACAGGCTCTCTGGAAGATGATGATGATGATGATGGTGATGGTAAAGGATAAATAAAATGATAAGTCCCATTGCAATCAAACAGAGAGAGCAGCGTGTGTATGGTAAGGGGGTGAATAATACGTACAGGAGCGCATGTTAGCAAATAGATGGGGATAGTCACTAAAATGCGCAATGGAATGAATCGAATCGAATATGGATGAGAGAGACGACAAAGCATGTGGCACGAAAATAACTATTTTGTGGACCCTCGGTGGAAAACGTACATATATTATTATTATTAGTATTGAAGTATTATGATTTTTTTAATATTTGTTTTAAGAGTTTAAAAATAGTAAAAATTAAAATTTAATTTATTAATTATTTAATTAAATTTATTTAAAGTAATAATATTAAATTAATGTTAATATTTATTTTTTTATATAAATTTACAATAAAAATATCATTAACTTATATTCTTATAAAATTTTAATGTATAATTTACGTAACTATCATAATTATCGTATAAATTTTTTCTCACGTTATCAGAATTTGATTCCCTTTATCTTCGTTCATCCCTCCTCACCGCTAATTTCCTTAGTTCAAAAAAAAAATATTCTTATAACATATATTAAAAAAACTCCTATTATTATTATTATTATTTTACCATATTTAGATTTTTTGCAAGCAATTTTCGTTATTTGGATTGAATGAAATAAATGAAAATATAATTATCTAATTTTATTTTTAACTAATAAAAATATTTAAAAAATAAAAAGCCATGACTTGTACGTTAAAAATGTTAAGATAAATAACCTTAATTATCCACGGAAATATGAGTGGATAAAACTCCGACGTGGACTTAAATTTTTTGATATTTTTAATAATAGATCGCCCTTAATTTTTAAAAGTAAGTTAGAAAATTTTTGTTTTTATTTATATTTTAGAGAGAAGGAGAAACAAACAAACAAAAATAAAAACGGAGGGGACAAAAGCTACCGGGCGTGCGGCGAACGCCAGGTCACATGAGGACAAACGGAGTCCGTAACAATT